GTGGCAATCAATGAAATCGAAATTACACGAGAGATTGCGCCAAGTGTCATCTTCGTTTCAACGATTTTCTTATTTATTCAAGTACACTCGTGCTTACATTTTTTTAAACTCACTCGAGAAAGTATCGATTAGATCGTTACCTCGATGGTTGGAATTCGAAATGTTTTAGCTTCCGGGTGCCTTTGGCCCGTGAAACCGTTAAATCACAGGCCCGGCGAGAAGATGTACTATTAATGATACGTTTCGAGTTGTTTGCCTCTTCGCGAAAGGTACCTCTTAGGTTATTTCAAAGTGTCCATCAAAAGAGCTACACGAAATTCCTATGAATATTCAAAAATCGTTCTCGAAAGACAGAACCCCGAATTAGTTTTCATAAGATGCACGTATGCAGTCTATAATTCGGCAACCTTGCAATCTTTGTAACTAAAATGTACTTTGAAAGCCAAGTTAATTGGTCCAGAGAATACTCGAAGATGCAGCTCGTCCTTGAAACGTTTCGAGTCTTCTTCGAGCTCTCTTATTCCACTTACAACCAACAACAGCAGGTGGCAGAGTGGCTGGAAACGTTTTATAAATAAGTCGTGCAACTTCTTAATGACCTGTCGTTATCTTACGCTTCTTTACGCAGTTGCGTAGTTTCGACTTAACTGTTTATTTATGCAGTTACACGTGTGTTTGCATATTGGCAACCTAAGTAGCTATTAGTTGCTGTCGATGCATTGTTAACGAGAAACGATTAATCCAGTTATAAATTACTGAATGACAACACGTCAAACGTTTTGCTTATTTAACAATTATTAGTTTGTTTTGCAAGGTTTTCCGAGTTTAGAAGTTGATAAGGTAAGTCAAATTGATTTGTAACAAAGTTCTATGATATATAATATGTGTGATAGATATATAGTGTACTACATCGACCGCTATGAAACTAGAGTTACATCATTTTTTAAACCGCGTATCTTTCTCGTCAGAAGTGTCTTTATTTTAGTTAATAATGCCTAGACTGTGAATATTTATGGAAATTTATCGTTTTACGAAGTCAAGCAAGGAATATGGATATTTTTATATATTCTTTTACCCTTTAATTTCTCACAAGCACGTAAAGATTTGCAATCTACGGGTCCAAATAGGAAAAGATGTTACATAAACATAGATCTCGTAAGATGTGATAAAGGAGATATGACAAGAAAATGAAATACGAGGGAAACAGTAAAGAGCTTGCGATTAGGTTATCGCGATACAATATAGAAATGGATCAGCGATATTTATGTCGGTCTACAGCTAATTGCGGAAGTAGTAAACAAAGTGCGTATCTGCGTAAACAGTCGGGGCATTTCGCTAGATAGTCGAGCAACTTACCGATGGTACTGGCAGATATTAGCTTTGAGATCATTGACAACATCAAATAGTAACATCTACGTTACATCGCAATAATCGCAAATTCTTCACCGTTCCCTTTGTATTTCGTGTTTTTGGCATAAATTTCTGTAACATCTTAAACCACCTATGTTTATACAACATTCTTCCCTCATTTAGATCCGTAGAATATACCAAAAAAGATTAGACCGTTAAAATCTAAGACATGCTGTATAAGTAGCGTAAACTTAACAATTGCAACGTACCATATTATAAATTGAAATAATTGCCTCGACGCAACGTACGCATCGATAGCAGCAGATGTGTTAGTTCAGTGGATTCTATGTTCCGCAACCATATGATTCTTCGTCGCCAAACCGCACCGACCGATCGGGAAACTTTCTTCGAAAGATGTAATTGCTTCGATCACGGGAACGTTCAAAAAGTTTCAGACGAATTCTTCTTCATCGATTCTGGAGCATTTGGTCTTCCGATGAAGTTGCTTGAAATGCGGCTCTCGAAACGTAATCCTTCTGTTTTTCGCGCGACTCTCGAGGGATTGGGAACATCGTCTATACGGGATGCGACCAATTCGTATTCAAAGCACGGATCTCGTGCAAACGGGGCCTGAACCCTCGCCGCACGAAATGTTTCATTCAACGAGGAAAGGTTCTTCGCCCAAATCGCACGGGCCATTTGCGGTAAATCGAATGGCAAGTGGATCACCGACGACACAAATCCCCGACCTACTCGTTTCACTTGGATATCTTAAAATATCGTATTCATAAAATCGTCGTCTCGGCTGCATCGAAATTTCCCCTTAAAATTCATCGTTTCATTATATAATACTATCTGTTTCGTTGATCGAAGTTGTCAGTCGTTGGAAGAGAGATCGTTTAATAAAATGGAGAATTGTTCATTATCATAGAAATAGATAGATATCATAGAAAATTATAGAAAATATATAATCCTTGCATCGTGTAGGGATACTTATGCAAATTCGGTCTTTTTTATCAAGATGGCTAAAGAGAGATCTATTTCGGTTACTAAACTATACTTCATAACGAGTATTATACTTTGAATATCTTACACAATTTTGAATATTATGTGCATTCTATAGGTTTCTCTATGTGCATGTAAATTTCACACAAATGCATAAACATCCCCGGCCTTTGATATCTTTGACAGTTGAAATACACGACAAATTCTCCAAATTTTATTTTACGCTAAGGTAATTGACCCAAATTTACGCTTCCGGGGCGTGTCGTTTAACTCGACAGAGTTAATTAATAGCACGCGATTTATCATAGTGTGATAAACGGCTTCCATGTGACACAACATCTCACAAACCAGTTCCTATTTCGGTTCAACCGAGTGCGCTCCAATGTCACGATCACCAACACTGACATTGACGCTGTCGACGTTATGTCACCGCACTCTCTCCTCTTCTCCCATTCCACAGTGAACATGGAGAAGCCGCATTCTCAAGTTATGTCACTTGCAGTTCATGCAATCCTCTTCCCACTCTAACCAACGAGGAGAAAGGACAACAGAGCGGCGTGCCGTGCGTGGTCTGGTTAGATTTACCTTTTCGACGCATAGCTTTCTCCCCTTCTACGACTCTTACTTGCTCCAACACCTTCGTCCAAAACTTTCAGCCCGTCAGAATTTATCGTTCCTCCTTTCGACGACTACGTACTCGGTAGTACGCGGTGCATCCCGACCAGCCGTAGGTCGCGTACGATGCAATTCGTTATTCTGTTATGCAGGATCGCTGCGAGTGGTATTTATGGCACTGGATCCAGTGCGCCTTGCTTCATCCGGCGAGTGTTGCACGTTGCGTATAGGTGCAGGTCCTACAGGGGCAGCAGAAACGAATAAATAGCCAGGATGATTAACGACGCGAAACTTTCAAGACCTAATCGCTGACGTTGAACCTCGAAGTGATTTATCTTGATTCAAATATCGATCCTTCCGTCTACGGATAACCGACCGAAGGATTGGAATATATACAGTGTCTGGCGAAAATATTCGCACACTTGCTATAGAGAAATACGGGTTTCTTATGAAATTCGCAAGTGATCATTTTTTTATGATAAAGTCCTCAAATATCTTCGTAAGCCACTGTATATTCTCCACGGAGGGATTGCAAAGCGCATAGACCTCTGTCAGAATGCATTATTCCATAAATTTATCTAGTCGTAAGTTTAAAACGATGGGACTCGGTGTAAGTTGACAGTTTCTTCGGTTTATCGCGATGTAAAGGAGAGGAAGTCGGTTACCTACGGCTTAGTGGAAAGAAAGCAACCTACAGCTTGATTCGCAATCTGCACCTACACGCGAGAATCGTATATATTTCACAGGCGGAGCTGCGTCGTCAGCGAACGTTGTCGATCGTCTGACAGGTTATCGATACGTTTAAAAATCATAGACAAAGTGCTTCGCTCCTTGTTGATTCTATCAAAGAAATTTTATTACGATAGACACGTTGTATGAATGGTTTTCGAGACGAACGTAAAATGCTGCCAGATTTTTCGTTTGTTAGAGCTTGATAGAGTAGAAAGAACAATGGCGGGCAAAAGGAAGTTCAAAATTCATAATTGCGTATAATAACTACATTACATTTAATTGTTCTTGACAGTTACTACAAGTGTTTTTTCTAAAATTATAGCGTCCTTTTTGTACCCTTTATCCTGCAAACTTCCTTCTGTCCTCGACTGTATACAAACACCTGCAGAAATCCATTATAAATATATTACGCGCGTTATACGAAAAGTAATGTTTTTCTCATTATCGCTTTATTTTACTTTTTACATTCGTATTATTGCATTTTCAATTATATTTATATCAAGTTTCCTATTTTATTATATTTATTATTATTATATATTTTCTACGTTTTTATAATATCTTACGATTTACACTTGGATTTCGAGTACTGTTACATGATAAACAATTCGAAAGACTGTTAGCTAATAGCAGTAATCAATGCAACGGCTGCATGGAAAGAATTGGTCGCGATGGGGAATTAAGGAATTTGCGATGCAGATCATAGTACGGCACAGCCAAGAAGACACAAGGTTCATTCACTTCTCGTCTTCCTTATTCTATTCACGATGGACGCTGATTTACGGTCTCGGTAAAAAAAAGCTATCGCGTCAAATCATTAAAGGCGCGTCGGAAATCAACGTTAACGTAACTGTACAAGCGAATTCACGATGGGTAGGGTATTGAAATTGTTGTTGTAGCACGTGGATTTTTGTCGAAGAGTGGAACGATGAAATAAATCGAGGTCGAAATGAGAATCGTTTGATCCTGAGCCATCGATGATGCTTGAATTATTCCAGCCAAGGTCAAGGGACAGTTAGAATCCTTTCGGTCGGGGAAGATTGGACGTGTGCCAAGCAGTACGTAACTGTTCGACTGCTTATCTTTGCTGGTTTATGCGAAATTTTCAACCGAGGAAATCCACGCCTCTCGCCCTACAAAACGAAGTAGACTACGTCATGTTCGGCTATCCCGTTAAAACTATGGAGATTTAAACGCCACTGGATTTAAATTTATGAACGCCGTTGATTCTTCGCTAGGAAATCGACAAAATTAACATCGGTTTCTAACAATTTTATTGATATGAATTATTTCATTTTCAGACACGGTGAACCGAAAACATGTGGGCAAGTCTACATACGTTAGGCGTTTTGATAGCGCTGATCTCGCCGACGTTAGCTGATATTGGTAAGATCCTTTTCATTGATTCGAAATTTGAACTTTAAACTAGTTTGTAGTATTCACGGTTCGCAGTCGAAGTTGGCATGAATGGTTTGAAGGACCTTTTAGGAGATGCACGAACTATCTATTTTCTTGACAAGCCCATTTACAGCGCGGCTCACGGACGCGTGATACGCTTACCGATTCCATGGTGCATTGCCATCATTTTTATTTCTCCGTCATCTCAGTCAGCAACGTTGTTGTCCGCTGTGTCTTCAAACTGGTTTCGCGCGAGACGCGTGGCCTTGACTGCATCGAAGGAAACTTACTTAAAGAACTTTACTAATGTAAAATTCTTTATGTCTACGTATCGCGAATTCAGACTCGAATATTCCACATTCCAATGTTAATTTTTTTCACAAAAGAAACGTAAAAAGTATCAAACGATCGAGTAAAATTTTCTTTGAATTTACAAAACCTATTTTCTGCCTATTATTATTTATAATCATTTCTATTATTTTAGCAAAAGGTCTGCCCTCGATACATCTGCCCTTGCCACATCTACCGAGTGGTTTCATGTGCATTGAAGTAGGATATCATGCCGATCCTAGCGACTGTAGAAGATTCTACCGATGTGTCGATTGGGGATTCGGAAAACCGCTGCAGATCTTTCAATTCGAGTGCGGTGTTGGAACAGTATTCTCGATGCGCAGGGGTAACATCTGTACTCTCCCCAACGACAGCGATCGCCCAGAGTGTGGTGGAAATATCATAAACAACAATAATTCGACTACGACATCTCCGACTACAACAGGAACATGGGCGACCAATGGAACTGTTACAAACGATATACTGCGAACAACTTCGAAGACTACTACCACAAGTTTATCAACAAGTAGTAACCAATTTTCTGCAACAAGCGGAAAACCAGAGAATGATCAAGGTCGAGGACGATGCGTTCAAGAAGGATATTTTGCTGATTTGAATAACTGTAGAAAATTTTATAGATGCGTTGAAGAAGGTTCTGGAAACTTAGTAAAGTATGAATTTGAATGTGGAGTTGGTACGGTCTGGGATCCAGATATACATGGATGTAATCATCCTTGGGCTGTATCACGAGAAGATTGCAAGGAAGGATCAGGGACAGCCGCTACTGGTAGTGGCGATAATGATGGACAATGGACAAGCGGAACAGGCAGCCCTGGACAACCTGGAGACGCTACTAGTCAAACAGGAAAACCAGATCAGCCGGGAGAAACTACTGGACAACCTGTTTCTCCCGGTACTGCGGCAACACCTGGTACCCCTGGCACTCCGGGGACACCTGGTACTCCGGGCACTCCGGGAACACATGGCACCCCTGATACTTCTGGCGGTCTAGGATCTACTACAACTTCCATCACTTCAGGTACACCTGGCGTCTCGGGAACTCCTGTTACACCTAGCACCTCTGGAACTCCTGGTATACCTGGCACCCCTGAAACTCCTGTTACATCTGGCACTTCAGGAGCTCCTGGTAAACCTGGCATACCTGGGAGCGTAGGCACCCCTATCACTCCAGGAAGTTCTGGTGCCCCTGGCACATCTAGCACACCAGGCACATCTGGCACACCGGGCACATCTGGCACACCGGGTACATCTGGCACAGCGAGCACATCTGGCACACCCAGTAAACCTGGCACACCTGACACAGCTGGCACACCTGGCACACCCGGCATATCCGGAAACCCAGGCACTTCTAGCGTTCCAGCAAGTCCTGAGGCCCCACACACTCCTGGCTCACCCGGCGCTCCCGGTACTCCTGCCACACCTGGAATCCCAGGTAGTCCTGGTGCCCCAGGTACTCCTGGCTCACCTGGCACACCTGGTACACCTGGCACATCTGGTACACCCGGCATACCTGGAAACTCAGGCACTCCAAGCATTCCAGGCAGTACTGGTGCCCCAGAAACTCCCGACTCAACCGGCACACCTGGTACTCCTGCCACACCTGGCATTCCAGGAAGCCCTGGTGCCCCAGGCACTCCCGGCTCACCCGGCACACCCAGCACATCTGGCACAGCGAGCACATCTGGCACACCCGGTACTCCAGGCACACCTGGTACACCTGACACACCTGGTACACCCGGCATACCTGGAAACTCAGGCACTCCAAGCATTCCAGGTAGTCCTGGTGCCCCAGACACCCCCGACTCAACCGGCACACCTGGTACTCCTGCCACACCTGGAATTCCAGGAAGTCCTGGTGCCCCAGGCACTCCCGGCTCACCCGGCACACCCAGCACATCTGGCACAGCGAGCACATCTGGCACACCCGGTACACCAGGCACACCTGGTACACCTGGCACATCTGGCACATCTGGTACACCTGGCACACCTGGTACACCCGGCATACCTGGAAACTCAGGCACTCCAAGCATTCCAGGTAGTCCTGGTGCCCCAGACACTCCCGGCGCAACCGGCACACCTGGTACTCCTGGCACACCTGGTACTCCTGGCACACCTGGTACACCCGGCATACCTGGAAACTCAGGCACTCCAAGCATTCCAGGTAGTCCTGGTGCCCCAGACACTCCCGGCGCAACCGGCACACCTGGTACTCCTGGCACACCTGGTACTCCTGGCACACCTGGTACACCCGGCATACCTGGAAACTCAGGCACTCCAAGCATTCCAGGCAGTACTGGTGCCCCAGAAACTCCCGACTCAACCGGCACACCTGGTACTCCTGCCACACCTGGCATTCCAGGAAGTCCTGGTGCCCCAGGCACTCCCGGTTCACCCGGCACACCCGGCACATCTGGCACAGCGAGCACATCTGGCACACCCGGTAAACCTGGCACACCCGGCACAGCTGGCACACCTGGCACACCCGGCACAGCTGGCACACCTGGCACACCCGGTATATCAGGAAACCCAGGCACTTCTAGCGTTCCAACAAGTCCTGGGGCCCCACACACTCCTGGCTCACCCGGCACTCCCGGTACTCCTGCCACACCTGGCATTCCGGGAAGTCCTGGTGCCCCAGGTACTCCTGGCTCACCCGGAACACCTGGTACTCTTGGCACACCTGGTACACCCGGCATACCTGGAAACTCAGGCACTCCAAGCATTCCAGGTAGTCCTGGTGCCCCAGACACTCCTGGCGCAACCGGCACACCTGGTACTCCTGCCACACCTGGCATTTCAGGAAGTCCCGGTGCACCAGGCACTCCTGACTCGCCCGGCACACCCGGCACATCTGGCACAGCGAGCACATCTGGCACACCCGGTACACCAGGCACACCTGGTACACCTGGCACATCTGGCACATCTGGTACACCTGGCACACCTGGTACACCCGGCATACCTGGAAACTCAGGCACTCCAAGCATTCCAGGTAGTCCTGGTGCCCCAGACACTCCCGGCGCAACCGGCACACCTGGTACTCCTGCCACACCTGGCATTTCAGGAAGTCCCGGTGCACCAGGCACTCCTGACTCGCCCGGCACACCCGGCACATCTGGCACAGCGAGCACATCTGGCACACCCGGTACACCAGGCACATCTGGTACACCTGGCACATCTGGTACACCTGGCACACCTGGTACACCTGGCACACCTGGTACACCTGGCACACCTGGTACACCCGGCACACCTGGTACACCCGGCATACCTGGAAACTCAGGCACTCCAAGCATTCCAGGTAGTCCTGGTGCCCCAGACACTCCCGACTCAACCGGCACACCTGGTACTCCTGCCACACCTGGCATTCCAGGAAGTCCTGGTGCCCCAGGCACTCCCGGTTCACCCGGCACACCCGGCACATCTGGCACAGCGAGCACATCTGGCACACCCGGTACACCAGGCACACCTGGTACACCTGGCACATCTGGCACATCTGGTACACCTGGCACACCTGGTACACCCGGCATACCTGGAAACTCAGGCACTCCAAGCATTCCAGGTAGTCCTGGTGCCCCAGACACTCCCGACTCAACCGGCACACCTGGTACTCCTGCCACACCTGGCATTTCAGGAAGTCCCGGTGCACCAGGCACTCCTGACTCGCCCGGCACACCCGGCACATCTGGCACAGCGAGCACATCTGGCACACCCGGTACACCAGGCACACCTGGTACACCTGGCACATCTGGCACATCTGGTACACCTGGCACACCTGGTACACCCGGCATACCTGGAAACTCAGGCACTCCAAGCATTCCAGGTAGTCCTGGTGCCCCAGACACTCCCGACTCAACCGGCACACCTGGTACTCCTGCCACACCTGGCATTCCGGGAAGTCCTGCTGCCCCAGGTACTCCTGGCTCACCCGGCACACCTGGTACTCCTGGCACACCTGGTACACCCGACATACCTGGGAACTCAGGCACTCCAAGCATTCCAGGTAGTCCTGGTGCCCCAGACACTCCCGGCGCAACCGGCACACCTGGTACTCCTGCCACACCTGGCATTTCAGGAAGTCCCGGTGCACCAGGCACTCCTGGCTCACCCGGCACATCTGGTACTTCTGGCACATCTGGTACACCCGGCATACCTGGAAACTCAGACACTCCAAGCATTCCAGGTAGTCCTGGTGCCCCAGACACTCCCGACTCAACCGGCACACCTGGTACTCCTGCCACACCTGGCATTCCAGGAAGTCCTAGTGCCCCAGGCACTCCTGGCTTACCCGGCACACCTGATACTCCTGGTATATCTGGAACATCGGGCATCACAGGTACTGCGGCCACTAACGGTACCCCCGGTACACCAGCATGGCTTGTCTCATCCAGCACATCTGCATGGTTTGACTCATCCGGACAACCTAGCACCTCAGGATCACCCATATACCTCGGAAGTCCTACCACTCCCGAAATTACTAGTACGACACCCACACCTATCATAACAGAAGCACCCAACACTCTCAGCACTCCAAGCACGCCAAGTAATTACGAAACTCCTCAAACACCAGCAACACCAAGTAGTGGAAATGGAACAACCGCTATAACTGACACTCCTAGTGAATCTGACACTTCAGACACTCCTGGCTCTTCTAGTGAACCCGACACTGCAGACACTCCTGGCTCTTCTAGTGAACCCGACACAGCACAAACTCCTGGCTCTTCTAGTGAACCCGACACTGCAGACACTCCTGGCTCTTCTAGTGAACCCGACACTGCAGACACTCCTGGCTCTTCTAGTGAACCCGACACTGCAGACACTCCTGGCTCTTCTAGTGAACCCGACACTGCAGACACTCCACGCACTAATAATGACCCAGATAATTCAGGCTCCTCCGGGACACCTAATGAATCCGAGACTGCAAGTACTTCTAGTGAACACGATTTTCCAGACACATCTGGTGAATCTGTAACTGACTCCGGTACTGCAAACACATCCAGTTCTCCCGAAACATCTGTTACACAAGCGACATCCGACGGCGAACCTCCTTGTACGCCTGATACAACCAGTAAACCTCCAACTCCCAGGACACCAAGTAATCCCGAAAGTCCTGAAACACCAGCGACACCCAATAGTGAAATTGGATTCCCTCCTACACCCAGTATACTCAGTAAACCCCCAACTCCCAGGACGCCACGTCATCTCAAAACTACTAGAAAACTGACGACACGTAGTAGTAAAACTATACCTCCTCCTACAGCCACAATGGCCAGTAAAGCACCAACTCCCAGGACACCAAGTCATCTCAAATCTCCCGAAACACTAGCGACACCGTGGAGAGAAAGTACACCTCATGCCACACCCACAATGGCCATTAAACCTCCAACTCCCAGGACGCCAATTCATCTCAAAGATACTGGAAAACCGACGACACGCAGTAGTAGAACTATACTTTTTCCTACACCTACTATGGCCAGTAAACTTCCAACGCCCAGGACGCCAAGTCATTTCAAAACTCCTGAAACACCAGCGACACGCAGTAATGAAACTACATCTCCTCCCACACCTGATATGGCCACTAAACCTCCGACTCCCAGAACTCCAGGTCATCTCGAAACTACTGGGTCAACGGTACCCACTAGGATAATGAAACTACATCTCCTCCCACACCTGATATGGCCAGTAAACCTCCAACGCCCAGGGCGCCAAGTCATTTCAAAACTCCTGAAACACCAGCGACACACAGTAATGAAACTGCACCTCCTTCCACATCGGGTATAGTCAGTAAACCTCCAACTCCCAGGACGCCAAGTCATCTCACGGCTACTGAAAAGCGGGCGACACGCAATAGTAAAACTATACCTCCTCCTACACACGCTACGGCCAGTAATCCTCCAACTCCCAGGACACCAAATCATCTCAAATCTCCCGAAACACCAACGACACCGAGTAGTGAAACTGCACCT